ATTCCATTGAAGTAATTCAATGCTAAAACATTTTCTGAGAAATACTTCTAAGGTTATATGAATAGAGTATATATGAAAATGGTTTTTCTTTTTTTTTTCCTTTTGCATTTCATCTTTCACCTCATTAGAGGCCTGGTTAGAGAAATCCTTCTTCCCCGTGGGCAGCTATAGTCCTGTCCGTGCTTTTTGTGTCTAATTAGTAGTTTCTATTCAGTACCCTTTGTAAAATATTTCTATACATTTCTGTCAGCACACATAACCATGTACTGTGTTGAAAAACCCGCAAATCAATGTTGCTTTTTGTGTGAAGTGGCAAACGTTATGGTAGAAAACAGCATGCTTTTTCTGTGGAACTTAATATAATTGGGTTTTCTCACTATTTTTCCCTTTAAGTTCAGACAGATGCACTCCCAATTAAATGAAGCATACTTGTTTTAGGTGGTAGGTTTTTTTTTTTTTCTTTTCAATAAATTTATTTCAATAGATGTTGTGTTAATACTTTTTATAAAATGAAATTCAATGCAGAATGGGCCAGAGGCCACTAAAATTCTAATCTGTTCCAAAAACCATAGTGGTTTATCACAAGAGATTTAGGGTTTCATCAGCTCTGACAATGACAACATTGTTGGTTTGTAGTATGTGTAGCTACTTATGCTCTGAAACATTAAGGTGTTTGAGAAATGTCTTTATAATCTATAGGTATTCATCCTGAAAATGGACCTTGAACCCCAATGGGTTGTAATCTTGTTGATCTGTCTCTGGGTGCTGGGTGTGCTATCCTTTCATGGTACACCTGGAGATGGGTGAAGCACGAGATGTATTTTCCACTAGTGTAAACATTTTTGGACTTGTGGGTTATACTTCACTACTGCAATATTTTTAGTGGTCTGTGTAGTAAGAATTTCAGACTGCCATCTACTAATACTGCCATGTAAGGGCAGGGGGAAAAGGCAGCATTAACTTTTTCAAGAGAAAATTTTCTAGTTAGGTTATTTTTTAAAGAAGAGAAATTGGTTCTTGTGCTGAAAGACAACATTTCCTGTGGAGGAGACATTTGGAGGTTAGACCAAGTTGAGGGATATTTAGATCTCCTTGTTGCATCTCTGAGAACTGAGTATCCAACTGCTCTTTATGCCTTTAATGATCTCCCTTGTGGTGTACCAAAGTGTAATGTTTTACTTTGAAAAAGAAACACAATAATGTAGTTGGTTTCCAAATATCCTGAGGACTGTACTTACTAATGAGAGACTGCAGACTAATGGTGCCTTTTTGTTATTGCCAGAGAGGAGGATTGTCTTTTATGGAACTTCCTAGATTTCAGGTGTGTGCTCTTTTTTAATTTGAAGGTTTCTCTTACAAATTTGTACTTCCTCATGCTATAACCACAATGATGAAAATCTTTGGTTGCATTGAGAAAATTGTTTCTGTAGATGATTACAATATGAAGTTTTGGAAATATTTCTGAAAGTTTTCTTGGGAATGTAATCAAATAACTTCTCCAAAACATGAGTAGCATATAATGAGGTGGTCGGGGTTTTTTGTTTGTTAGTTTGGTTTTGTTTTTTGTCATTTGGTCATATATTTTATTGCCAAATGAGTGCATATAAACGTGAAAGTATTTTCAGTTTTAGTAGTCTCACAGTTTTATCCTTGCAACTAGTGTGGTTAGCTTAATAGTTTAATAATGAGCCTTTCATTTTACAAGAGAAAATTGATGGATACCAAAACATTAGATGTCCAACTAAACTCACTAAGCAGTCTTTGAACTCGTGGGGGTTTAGAGTGTTTTGTCAGGAGGCCTTTTCCACAAAAGGCACTGCTCATTGATGATGTCCCATATCATGTGCAAGTAGTTTTGGCAAATGCTTGTCTATGGTTTCTAGAATCTACAAAAAAATGCAATATAAGTGCTCTATTGTCATATGGCTATTGAATATGAGATTATAATTATGTCAGGCCTCTTTAACATATGATACATGTTAAGTGCACTTTGTTGCTTAATGAGTTAGCGAGTATTTAAAGAAAGAAAAAAGGGGTGGGAGGATGGGGGATTAGATTCTTTTTTCGTCTGTCTGTTAGCATATTCCAAAGAAATTAATTTACAACTCACAGTGTAGGCACTTTAACATTTCCTTTGAAACATGTGTGCTAAGAGAAACCTAATTTCTTGTTAATACTCTTTCCCATTTATTTGCCTAAAATTTGTAATAATTTAAACATAAAAGGCTGATGTCACAAAATTCTCTCCAAATTTGAAGTAACCAGTAAATCTTCTTGACTAAATGCTGCCATCTTTTTTGTAGGAGACATCTATTAAGAATAATTGGAAGAATTTCATGGAATGAGAAGCAAAAGAAAACTGTGTGCATAACTGCTAATAGATTAAACAGTTATTTTAGTTGTATTAAGAAGCTGCATGCAACTCCCTGATATGTTCTTTAGCAAATCTAGGTCACATTTTATGCCCATGACAGCTGCTGTCTCTCCCTTAAGTTTTTGCTGTCTTTAGAGATAAACAATGCAGCTGTAAACTTTCTTTGCACTGGCAGGCAAACAAATCTAAGCTCAAAATGTAAATTAAAAATGTAGGTTTTAAAGAAGCGGCTGAATTTTCCAGTGAGTGGAAAAAAAAAATCAGTGGAGGTGGAAATTTCAGTTGAAGAAAGTTAATTGGTGTTCAAGTTGAATTGGTATTCTGCATTGGACCAAGCTGCTGGCCCTTGAAGGCTTTTAAGAAAAACAGTAAAAACAGTGGGGAAAAAAAAAAATCAATTGGAAAACAGTAATCACTCCGTATGTGCCATCCTGTTTTGAAAGCTGCAGAATCCCAAACCAGCCAATCGTTTGATTCTTTCTGCCGGTATCGTGGAGGAAGTGGCATATATGTTTCTCATTTCTTAGTCTTCTAACCTTGTAATTTAGACTTGAAAATTATAATCTTTACAAAACAGAGAAGCTTGTGATTTTGACTAAGCAAGCTAGACTAATTTTTCACATTTCGCCAGGTATAAAAGCAGTCTGGTGTAAATATAGGGTTGTCCTAGAGCAGCCCAGTATATAGCACGGCACTGGCTGCCCCATCTGAGCTGGGAGCATATGCAGTTGGGGGTTTTGGGAGTGGAGGGGGGGTTGAAGGCTACAGCTCTGCCTGGTACATCTGTGGCCCCTTACACTTGATGTGGCAGTTGTCAGTTACAGATGCCTTCCTGTGAGCTACAGCTTGTACAGAGATTGCATTTGTGGTGCTTTGTGATGAGTCTGTTGGCTGTTTTCTTGATGTCAACAACTACTAGAGTTGTCTACTCTTGAAGCTTCTCTTGTTGAATCTGAGCCTCACATGTGCAACCTTTCTCTAAATTGGATCTATCAGGTGCTCTGTCTTTTTTGTGTCTGGCTGGTTAGTTCTATGTAAGACAGGAATTAGGGCTCCCTGTTGAATTGATATTTTGTTCTCTCATGTTGAAGGCGAAGCAGTGACATATTACATCTGAGTGAGCAGTCTGGGTGTTTATTACTTGGTGCTCACAAAAAGTATGTCTGTGACATTTGGTCAGTATTAAGGAAAAAAACCACTGCTTTTATAAACAGCATTAAATTGGACCATATAGCAATTCTGTGATCTCTCCTAATGTAAATGATCCTCATCCTCATAAATCTGTTATAAGAGGCAGAGGTCTAGCAACTCAGTTTTAATATTGAGTTGCTGTATCAGTACTTTCAAAATGCATATCCAAATCACAGTGCTGGGTAATTTGTTGTTTATAAATGTCATGTTTGCTTTTGTGCTGTACTGCATAGTGGGTTGTAAGACTCCTGAACAGCACCTTTATGGAGCTAGTGTCTTCATAAGGTACTAGTACCCTACATTGCTAATCATTATCCAGAGTGGATATTGTGCCTTTTAGCTATGCCTCTAGTTATTGCAATGCTATTAATAGGTATTGTCTTTTGTACTGGTGAGGTATTTATTTATTTATTTTTAATAAACATCTACAGGAAAATGCATTAAAATTCTTGTAAGGAGAGCACTATGGCAGAAGCTTTGTGCTTTTCAAGACTTGGATGATCAGTGATTTATGTGGATAAATTCAAGTGAAGGTTAACTTTTGTACTTTGATTCAGTACAGAAATCAAGGTGGCTTGGGAATCTTTAATCTCCACTAGATAAGTTGTAAATGATTTCTTGATTGCGTATATCATCTGCTCTCGTGCTCCAGATGGAGAATATGTATTTGTAATGTCTTTAGTGTGTTAAAATAGTCCATATGTGTTCATTAAGCGTTCAGTCTAGACTTTTATGTTAAGAGCTTGATGTATGGAGAGTAACTTTCTCACCTTAATATTTATTTATTTATATAATATTATTTAGTGTTTATTAGTTTTGCTCTACACTGTCTGTAGAGACCTGAAAAGTAAGTTTGTATTTAGAATAAATTTTATCTAGTAGCATATTGTCATTTGTCATAGGATCATTGAACAATTTGAGTTGGAAGAGACCTCAAAGCTCATCCAATTCCACACCCCCTGCCATGGGCAGGGACACCTTCCACTGGACCAGGTTGCTTCAAGCCCCACCCAACCTGGCCTCGAACGCTGCCAAGGACTGGGCAGCCGCAACTTCCCAATAACCTCCTTTCTTACTGTTTATGTCAAAAGAGAGAAAATAGTTTCTGTTCACAAAGTGTCTACTCAGAATTTGGTTAATGCTTTTGAATCTGAAGGTAACTTTTATGGCTGAATTAGAACCTGTGGAAGATCATACCATAGTGAAAGTGATGACTTGCAAATAATTGCATGGGTGGATATTCATTACCAAAAGAGAACACAAGTTGTTAACGGACAGTTGATATTTAGTATCAGTGACTATTTGTTACAAAAGCAAGCATACAAGTCGCTAATGACACTTGATACTTTGTACCAGTGAATATTTGTTACCAAAGGGAGTGTACATGTTGCTAGTTGATACTTCATGCTTAGTATTTCTGTTTTCTTTCCCGTAGTTTCTTTGCTTGAAGAATATAAGGACTTTTCTTTCGGCATGTTGTGAAATATTTGGGATGAAGAAAAGTGAACTTTTTGAAGCATTTGATTTGTTCGATGTGAGAGATTTTGGGAAGGTAAGGATCTTTTTAATTATATCCTGAGTAATGCCTGTGCTCTACTGCTTGAGTGCTTTAGAACTCCACTTGGTATATGTGGTGTAGGAGTTAAGAAGTTGTGAGTAATTGAGGGCAGAGAAATATCCCTGGTAGGAAAGCTCTGAAGGTGTGAAAAGCATTAAATTAACCCCCCCCCCCCCCAAATGCCCCAGAACCAAAACCAAACAACAAAAAAAAAACCAACAAAAAAACCCTACAAAACCCCAAACACCTCCCCCCCAAAAAAAACCAACCCAGACTGAAACATGCTGAGTTAAAGGTACATGAAATGTGTGAAGATGGGCAAGTGCTGTCTAGTGGAATAATTTTTTACATAAATAGTGGGGAATCAGGAGTACTGGGCCTACACAATGCCCATATGTCACAGAACAATTGGCATATGGCACAGAACAATTTTCCATAGTCTCAAGTGCTCAGAATTCACCTATGTAAATTTAGCCCTTGTAAGTTTTCTTTTTTTTGGCAGTTAGGTTTAAAATCTGATGGTTTTTCTAACCTGCTGTAAAGCTCATACATAGCTATGGTGGGTTAATGTGACTACCCTCATTTACACAGCCTGAAATATATTCTGTAAGTCTATGATTAGTTATTCTGCATGTAAAAGCTTTTTCCAGTTCATTGTTCACAGCCTCCTACATACCTGTTTGATCTGTCATTGCCAGCATATATTCAGTTCTGCTTTGGTTTCTGCTTTTGAGTCATAGGGTATCATTACTCTAATTTCACAGGAGAGGTCTAAAAATTACCTGAAGTAGCACCAAAAATATTGACTTATTCAAATTTAGTGTATTTCAAGCATTATTGCTTTTTAAAAGAGATCATAATTTTACTATCAAGTTTTTATGTGCTGCTCTTTTTACAAGTAGGCATAGAGGTAAAGATGATGTAAGAGTGGAAGCATGAATCAGGGCTACAGTATGACTATTTGGAATGGTTCAGTGATTACTGTTAACCAAAATGTCTAATTATTTTTCTGAACCTTTTGTCTGGTTTTAAGTCCCTTTGAGTATATAATTAGACAATTAAATCCACTTGTTCTTTAGTCATGCTGAACATGTTTTGTCCTTATATAAATTACACTTAAGATAAAGCTTTTGTTAAAATGTGACTTTTTTTTTTGCAAATGCACTGTATTGCTTATTAAAAATGAGATTTTATTTTGTTTTGTGCAAATAGCAGAGGAATTAAAATTGTTGGTTTTGACATTTTTGGTGCAGTAGAAATGTCTTACTTATGGTGTCCCTTATTTAATCATGTATCTTAAGATATGTGACCTTAGTAAACTCGCGTATCTTAATGCTTGCTTCAGATCTTTAAGACCTGTCCTAATGCATAGAATTTTTAAACAGTTGTATCTTCTAGTTAGTTGCTGAGAGTTTCAAACTGTGTGCCACATAACCATAACCAGCTTGTTTAATACAGTCTAGTTTTGAAGTCTTTTGCAGTGTGAATCATTATTGCAGCATCACTGAATACCCAGTAAACAAGTTCAGAATTAAAGCTGAATTGAATCTAACAAATGTTTCTGGCACTTTTTAATTGTCATTTTAACAAAATTTATTTTGGAATACAATTTCATGTATGTAGAATTATTGGCTTTAAAAACCCCAAGCATTTTCCATTCATGATATTAGTATTACTTTTACTCTTCCAAAGTAAAGTTGAATGCAGAGATTTTATTTTTTTGGCCATGCTTGTTGCCACAGTATAGCAGGAATATACTGATTATTCCTGGTGATGGTATTTGAGTGCTAGCAATGGTGATAGTCCTTGTAAGCAAAAGTTTCTCTAGTCTTGGACACTTTAGTGGCCTTTGTCACCTTTCTTGGAAAGCTACCAAGTAAAAACGTGGTGACAAACTTGAATGAGACTTGTGTGTGGGCTCCTTTAATGCAGCTAACTATGTGCATAGTAACATCTGCTTGTGCAGAGGTGGAGGTGCTAGATTGAACAAGCCCGTGCAATCATTGCAATAGCTGTGTTTGGCATGGTTTTAGGTGCATAATGGCTCTGCTATTCAGCTGTTTCCACTGCGTGCTTATGTGGAAGCTTGCCACACACAAGTGGAGGTAGCAATATACTGTATTTAGATAGGCTGATCTGTATATTTTACTAGCCTCTGCAAATGAGTAGTTAAGCTTCCTAAAGCAGTTGGTCAAGTTGATGGCATTAAGATAGTGGAGGGGAAAATTACAACTTGATTAAAATGTATGGTCAGACCTGAGTTAATTCTGTAGTTTTAAGTATACTGTTTGTGTATCTGTAAAGTGGCATGGGTTTTAAATTGCTATCTGATAATGTACTTTGGAAATTCTGCTTGCTAGTAGCAGCAGTGAGAAAAAGCTTGTATTTTTCAAGTTGATATTTGCTTGGCAACTTCCCCCCCACCTTTTTTTATTCCTAAGAATAACAACCTTAATGTAGTCCTGAATCTCCAGTGTTCTTGAATTGAAATTGCTTATATGCAAAAGGCCAAAAAACAAGTGCTGAAGATTTTTCCTGCTACTGCAACCAAGTCATTCTGCTATTTCTAAGAGTTCTGTGAATTGCATTCCTTAATACAAAATATGAATGATCTTAAATTGATTTTAAGCACATACAAAAAACATGATAAGGTTTAGAAATGCTCTGTTTTCCAGTTGTTGACCAAATAGGTGATGGAATGATCTACAGCCTCTAACACATTTGAATGTCCTGAAAGTTGTCTTGGGATGTCAGCAGTTGGCGACTGCTCATTAGTGGTGAGATGTAAATAAACTGTAACTGGAATGACTCCATAAGCCTTATGTATTTGGTACTTTTAAATGCTTTAGTTGAATTTATGAAGAAATGATTACTGAATTTGTCATCATATGATGGAGTATTCTGCTTAATATAACAAATTTCAGTGACTTTTAAGCATGCTAATGGAGGGAACTGCAGCAATATGTAAATGAACAATGAGCCTTCAAGGAGATAAGATTGACAGGAAAAATGAGATGAGAGACCTGGTGATGGAAACTGTCATTCTGATGTTTTTCATTGCTGAAGAAAATGGCAGCAAACCCCTGTGTCTCATAGAAGTAGCAGCTGTATGCTGCCTGTAGAATTTTAAGACTTTTGACGGCCTTGTGAAATACTCATTACAAAATGTTTGCTGTAATGGTGGAACTTACATTTTATAGCTAGGTCTAAATGAGCTGTTTTCAGATGCTTTGACGTAATGTATGAAAATGTGACTTGAACTTTGTGCTCCACTATGCAGAGACTCTTTGATCTTTCTGTGATCGGAGGAAAAAGAAGGGTGTATATGGTGGGGATAGGGATCAGGCATGAAGCTTAAGAGGCAACATGTAAATAGTCAGAGAATATGTAAAGAAACAGGAAAGCAGGTAACCTCATGAGTATGTTTTTTTTTAGTGTCTATTTTCTGTATGAATATTGATATCAGCTGTTACAAGATGAGGTTTTTCTTCCATTTCATGTATAACAGCAATGATTTTCTTATTTTTTAGACTGACTGTGCTTAAGAAAAGAGGGGCTGCATTATACAGAAATAGGAGGATTCTTAAATTATACTTTCTAAAATGACATAAAACTTGTGTTTTCCTGGGGTTCTACAGTATTCACCCATTCTCAGTCACCTTTCTATCAGTAAATTTCATTGTTGATGCATTAAGCTCCTGACAAAGCATGAAATGCCCTCCCACGCCCACGAGGTGCCAGACAGTGTTTTCATTATGAATTCCATGCTGGAGAGTCATTTTTCACTACCACAGGGTTGTCAGGTTCTTCCTTTCTACCTGTGTGCCAGAATCAACAAGTAATGTTGATACTTGCTCTTTCAGCTCTCTGAGCCCTGCACAGTCCTCAACAGCAGCCTTTGCTGTTTGGTACACCACAACAAATTGTTGCTATCCCTATTCTCTGAAGGAAGTTTGCAACTAATGTGTTGCAGAAATGGGAGTCTGAGGATTAGTACTAGCACATGTTGATGTTGACAGATGCTCCCTGGCCTCAGAGCTGGGTTTGAGGTCTCATGGGGGAAAATAGTGTCCAGATATTGTCAGAAAAAGAACTTTGTGTACTCTGCTTTTAAATATTCTAAGCAACATATAACTAAACACAGTGGGTTTTTTATGACATAACTGATCTAACATGAACACAACCATAAACTCTTCTAGTAGAGATCTTGCAATAGATGTTCTAGAAATAACATAAAGCATTCAATCCTGATTATAAAAGGGGGGTGGGGATGAGGGATGATCAAATATCAACTACTACCAATCTAACAAATACCCAATTGTTTAAAAGCATATACCATAATGTCTAATGTAGCTAACTATCCAGTTGCACTTAAAAGGCTAATTTATGTAAAAGCAAGAAACTGCTGTGAAAACATTGAATGCGTATACTAAGGCCATGAATTTTGTTGATCATTTTAGTCACTCCCTTAGTGTAAAGGAAATCCAGGTTGTGATGCAGCAAAAATTCATGCTGAAATTGAAGATCCTGGTATGTTAGTATTCCCTTTGGTTTAACAGATTCCAGGAAGATCAGGCAGATGTGCATGAGATACACACACCAAAATCAACACAACAAAGAACAACAGTTATAAAAAAAAATATACCATTAAGAAAAGCATGAGGAGGAAAAATGCTTAGGAAATATTCAATAAAATTGAAGCAGTTGAGATTAACCTCAGTTGTTGTATGTTTTATTTAGTGCATTTAATGAGTGAGGTAATAGAGCAAAATATGAGCACTTTAATAATGTTGTATGAAAACTGCAGAACATTGGGGAGCATGCCAAGACATTATACCATAATTTTTGAAAAGAAAATTAAAATGAAGAAGAGAAATGAACAGGTAAAAACAAGACTTTAATTATTGACAGAGCCCTGTCTTCATTTTCTGAGCTTTTTTATTGGCAGAAAGAGCTTAGTGATTTGCTCAACTCAAGTTGCTTTTAGGAGTAGC